GAACCAACGAACCCCCCGCCTTCAGTGCGGGGCAATGCGGCAGCGACAACTCCTCAGCATCCATCCACTGTTGCTGCTGCTGCTGCTGCTGCAGCTGCTGCTGCTGCTGTTGCTGCTGCTGCTGCTGCTGCTGCTGCTGCTGCAGCCATGTGGAGGGTGAACCTTCACAAGCTGCTTTTGCCAGGAGGCGGAACTGTCGAGTTCCTGCTGTTGCTGCTGCTGCTGTTCTTGTTTTAGCTGCTGCTGCTGCTGCTGCTGCTGCTGCTGCTGCTGCTGCTGCTGGTGCTGCTGTGTCTACGATATGCACAGCAGCAAACGGGATGCCGTGCTGCAGCAGCAGCACTTCTGCTGCTGGCTTAGCAGCAAAAGCAGCAACAGCTCCTCCTCTCCCTGATAGGCAATCGGCGAGGCCCACAACAACAAACGAAGAGGGGTCCGAAGACTGCACGCTGCTCAGCCCGAAACAGCTGCTGCTGCTGCTGCTGCTGCTGTTGCTGCTGCTGCTGCTGCTGTTGCTGCTGCTGCTGCTGGTTATGGAGAGGCCGCCGAAGCCATACTTCCAGGAGATGAAGGCAGCGAGAGGGAACCGCCAAGAGGGGCAGCAGCAGTTGCTGCTGCTGCCGCAGCTGCTGCTGCTGCTGCTGCTGCTGGTGATTGCTGCTGCTGTTTGCTGCTGCAGCAGCATATCTGCTGCTTGCTGCGACTCGCGCCAGTCTGCTGCTAGGCCTCGCCACAGCTGCAGCAGCAGCAGCAGCACACCATCAACCCTCCAAGCAGCAGGCGGTGCGTCTAGAGTTGCTGCTGCTCTTGCTGCTACTGCTGCTGCTGCTGCAGTTTCGCTGCTGCTTGTCACCGCTGCAGCAGCAGCAGCAGCAGCTGCTGCTGCTGCTGCTAGGTTGTGAATCTGAATATCCACAACCAGCAGCAAATCGTCTTCTTCGTTTTCTTCTGCTGCACACAAATACGAGGATTTGTATTTATGTCTTTCTGCTGCTGCTGCTGCTGCTGCTGCTGCTGCTGCTGCTGGGCGTTGCTGCAGCAGCCTAAAGCTACGGATGCTGACTGCAAGGGGGAACGGAGTTGCTGCTCCTGCTGCTG